TGTTGTTGTTGACTTTTCAAATATTCTTATCATTAACGAACATGAAGGACACATAATCGATAAGGCCATATAAACTAGATTACAGTACTTCGCTACAACACAATAGCAAACTAACATTACAATCAGTTCCACTATACACATCTCCATTATATCCCCCTTTCCAAAATCTATGTGCATCTTGTCTACAAGAATTACACTATGCAACGCTCATCGAAAACAGTCAATAAACACTAAAGTCGGCAAGCAAAACTAACAGACAATAACGATTGAAATGATGATGACCAAGAAGATGACAACAGTATACATACACGTTGGCCAGAACACCAATTCAGTAAACTAGGCAATAATTTAAAAAAAGGAGGGAATTTAACCAACCACCGAAATCACCAATATATGCATACACAAACAATCCCACTTTATCAAATTCATTATTCACATTCTAACATATAATAATACAACTCAAAAGTCAACACACATTTCAACAATAAACCATTACAGGACAAAAACATCAATATAGCATCAGGCACTACTGAGCAACGGTCTAAGGGGTCACACCTCATATCAGCACAACACGTCAAGCAACGAATCAATAAGGTGAAAGATAAACAAATAGAGAAGAATGAATCAAAAATAGTAGAAAACAGTAAAATATGAGTGAGTGAATGAGTAAGAGAGAGAGAGGGGGGAGAGGAATAAGGTAACACTGAGTTCAGTACGACAGTCACGATGGAGACAATGTATGCAGATATATTCGTCACTGAGCAATACCACCTTCAGTATACACCTCATACCGAAGGTTAAACATTTCATACACTGATCCCATGTTTGAATATCGCACCTTCAAACCTTTATTCAGCCTAAACTTACTTCATCTAACATTGCACAAGGAGGTAGACGATGATTTGCCACGCCATCTAAGTCCATCAAGGTTCATAACCGCATCAAATGATATTTCTCTACTCCTCAAAACTATACACTTGACTTTTGGTCTACTGACGTGGTGACAACATGACACACGGCCTATGCTAAGAAGGCAACGGTGATCAAACATATGAAACCTTCCCTACCTTCACTGGTCATGTTTCAAAGCCATGAAGATGAATAGAACAAACTGCAGATCAACACACTCGACTCGTCAACCATGCCCAATGTATTCGACCTTCTGAAACCACCTGACCGTTTACATAGAAGTAGGTCGAATCAGTTCAAATCCACGACCTGATAGATCATTCATCTACAGTTTAACAAGCTTATTGCTAAGAAAACACTCTGTAGACCTTTCTTTACTTGCATGGCTTGTACATGTGATTAGTGGAACAGGCAAGCAAGTTAGTAGACAAAGAATGTTCCAATGCTACAACACCGAACAAACATATTTATCTACGAGCATCGAAGTATATTGCCACAATAACGAGTCATTTTTTACTTACTGTTATTTACTGTTTATAAAAGAATTAACAGTTCAGAGACTCTAAATAATGTGTACATATCGATAAAGTATACAGGGAATAAGTTGTAGTAACATCGATTTATCACTAGTTAGTAAAAATGTCATGCTCTCTATTCAGAGTTAATCGAGTCCTATCTAACAGACTGAGAATTTGTCAACAAAGTTAACCAGTACTACAGTGCATTAAATATGGTAACAAACGGCTGGAAGTAGTTAAAAGGACAGTCTAGATTTAGAATCCATTCCGTTAATGAGTCCTATAGATCACGATACCTAAGTTTATACCTTTCTCCTGATTACCTCCAATCATCTAAACATAATACCAAGCAAGACAATTTTTTTTAAAAACTATGCATGAAACAACTTCTGTCTTGTTTAAATTCAATGAATAAATACTTATTTTGTTTCAATACAGTTGAAGTACAAATAAAAGTGTTTCAGCTATAACGATGAGCACAATCTTCTCATGGGAGAGAAACAAATCTCAGTTTATCTAGTCCTAAGTGCCGACTGAATTCTGTTGATCATATTGCAATGTGGCAGTGTGAGTCCCCTAGCTTGGTAGACATATTGCAAATATGATCGATAGAATTCCATCAACATTCAAGACTAGATAAAATGAAATTGCTTACCCTCAGTGACCAATCACTGTATCTAATCCAGTCGCAGGCCGAATAGCTCAGTGGTGACATCTCTGATGTGTTCGGATCTCCCACAAAATATCACTTCCCTTGAGGTTGCAGATATGCCTTGCTGATCAGTGCCAACAAGAACAAAACCTAGGTCCGGAACACCCTGACGACTGTGCTTCCAACCAACTAATAGTCTTCCATTTAACGCATATACTCTAAAGTTCATCAGTCGTTATAAAAACGTCTCAAAGGTGAGAAGTTATCAGCATTCTGTCCGGAAGAAAGATGTTTACATCACGCTATCGTACAAGGGGGAATCAAACAGCATGACCTTAAGACGAAGACTTTATTCAGTTATTAAAAAGACATACTACCCAGCCAAACTCAATATCATCGAGAAAACGAAACCTATGCTTCAAAATAAACCTCATCACTTCATAGATGATTGCGTCACATCCTGTTGTGTATACCAATTTACATATGTGTGCGGTGACACATACATTTGGAAGAGTAATCGAACTATGAAGTCTAGGGTGCTGAGGCATATCCCTAATTGGCTAGAAAAACAATTACGTCCAAATAATTCGATAAATACAAAGGGGTAGATAGACGTCATCGTCGTAGGTAAAAACAGTGTGAAAATGTATTATTCCCGCTTATTATCCCCATATTTTTCAACTCTTGTATTATCGTATTTATTCTACTCCACTTCATCCTTTATAAGAAATGCCTTGACAAGTTAATGTGCTTGGGGATCAGATTGTTCGAAATGTATTGCGTAAATCGATCACATTTCTCAGATAACCTCCGTCTTCTCATAACACTACGCAAAGTTGACTAGAAAGGTGTAATTCTAATGCTAACATGATAACTTTCAGTATAGTTTTCAGACAAAGTTTTTATAAGACAACAACTACTACTACTTGACTATTATAAACAAACTCGTGGCCAGATCTGGAAAAATGATCAACTTGGAGAGTCATTAAACCTGTCTTCAACTGCAACAAAAGATGATATATTAAGCGTACAATGTCAAAAGGAATACAATCCATTTATTTAAAATTCTCAATCAAATCGACATAACATAATTGAAAGGTGAATAGTTTGACCATTCAGACAATTCTTTTTTCTTATATACTCAACAAATCAGTCACCTTTTATTACAACTAGGATGATTGTATATGAAAACTAAGCAATCAATTCATAAATTATTCTGCACATCATCATAGAACAGAGCGCACGATCACAGTCAACTGGATCTTTACCTCAAACTTCATCGATTTTGTAAACGCCTTCGACAGCGTAGACCGAGAAGTTATTTGGCAAGCACCTGCTTAACACTACGCTTACAGTGCCACAAACCACCATCAACCCCATTCAACAGCAGCTTTATATATATATATATATATATATATATATATATATATATGCATGCTATATGATGCTACATTCCAAGTCATTCACAATCGAAACCTCACTGATGCCTTCGAAGTCAAGTGAAGACACGAGTAACACAACGCTGCCGCCTACTATCTATCATCCATGATCTTCCTGACTGGACAGGACAGGACTGGATCATGCAACAAAAACTGTGAGGAGGTCAGCATATGCTGACTGGACCCATGAAAATACACTAGAAAATTCGGATTTCGCTGATCATCATTTCATGTCCGATATCTTATGTCGCACAAACTCCAAGATCTACAGGTAAAAACAAACAAGTTGGCAGAAGAGGGGAGGTGAGGCAGCCAAGACGGCACTTGCTTCAGGTGAATGTAGAAAAAACAGAGATGATGAAGATACCCAACCAACAACAACAACAACAACAACAAGCACCAACAACCATCAACGGGAGAAATCTAAACAAAGTTGTCTCTTTCGCCCACTAACCTAGGCAACATCGTCTCAACTACACACGGCAGCGGCACACATGAGGACGTCAAAGCCACAATCGGAAAGACAACAAGACAGACCTTCATTAATCTGAAATCAATGTGGAGATCTACTCCACTGCACTGCACTCAACTCAGCATAAAGCGTGAACAACATCCACATTCTCAACACTAATTCAGTCAGGTAAGTCAATGCTTCTATGTGATGCTTCACAGACTCGGCGTGTTGCGAAAACTATTTCCAACAAACTGCAGACATACATCAACAGCTGCCACCTAACCTCACTCGATGCTGAAGATCAAATGGATGGCCAGAAGAATAAGCAACAAGAAACTCACTCTGGTAACAAACAAACAAACAAACAAAAAGACATCGCCCAACAAATACAAATATGCAGAAGAACAAAGTGGAGATGGATTGGATTGGATTGGACATACACTGAGAAGACCACTACTTGGGGACATCACGAATCACATCAGGCCGTCGAGTGGAACTCTCACGGGAAACGACGAGTTGGGCATCCGAGGCGAGGGTGACATGGAGGATAGCATAGGAGGAAGAAATTGAAGCGTGTGAACATTCGTGGAGCCAGATTCAGAAGACTAGAGAGAAGAGAGTGAAATGGTGATGTGCTACTGAAGCCCTATGTTCCACTAGGAACCCAAAGGACAAATAATAATAATAATAATAATAATAATAATAGTGATGACTAGTAATGAAATTCAAACACATGCATCTCGTCCCCCTAGCAACTTGTTACCAGCCTCAAATTGTGCCTTCCATCATTTGTAACTGTTAGTTGGTGTTATTCAAGTCAAATGACAACAAGGGCTAAGCGATTCGACATAAATCAGCGAAAAAAAACATAAGTAGCTAAAGCACCATAGGGTTATGCTACCTGACAGATAAAAACCTGATAAATCCACGGACAACGATATATTGTACAAAATAAGATGAACTATTACAATACATATTCATAAACAAAGAAGTAGGTAATGATGAATATATAAAAAAAGAAAGCTTACAGTTGTTCTTCAAGCGGTAATGTTTCCAAATTAGCAGGTAAACCTTTCGGCAAATTATGTTGACTAGATAATGCCTTCACCTTATTCAGTGGGTAACGTAATCCACTAGATGTTGTAAACTGGTCAGATACAGAATTCGTACATTGAGAAGAAGGAAGAGGAGGAGAAGATAGAATAACATGTGATGTTGACGATGATGTAGAAGTAGAGGACGAAGAGGAGGACGACGACGACGATGACAGAGATGATGAGGTGCAGGATGAAGATGATGCTGGATTAGGAACTGCGAGTATATTTGTTTCGGGTAGACAAGAGGATTCAGGATTCATTGCCATTGTTGTTACTGCTGGTATTGTATTGGTCACTTTACCAGTAGTTGGAATAATCACTGAAGGATCTATAAAACGTCCACCTAAATTCGGTATCACAATATAACAGAAAAGAAACAGTGATAATTTAATTCTTTTGAAAACAATGGATCGAAGGAATAAACATTTTTTCTAATCTGAAGGTTGATAGGGATCTTATTTATTTCAAGGTAGTATTCATCACGGACTGACACACCTTGAACAACCATCGAAAACTTGGGAGTACTAAACAAACAGGTGTTTCGTCCTAGCACGAGGTCCCTCATCAGCACACGCCTACGACCCCACCAAGGATCGAACATAGAACCTTCAGGCTTCACAGCGATACGACAGAAGTAAGAAACGGTGAACTGTTGAAATCAAACTCACTGACTAGACGGTAAGTGCGTTCACTGTGAAACCTGAAGGTTCTGAGTTCGATACCTAACGGGGTCGCGGGTACTTACTACTGAGAAATCCTACACTGGCAAGAAACAGATGTCCAGTGTCCACAGGTTTTCAATAGTTCTATAAGTGATGCCAGTCTGTGATGATTTTTCAACTTAGTACTCTTCATGAAATGTCATGAGCTGGAGGATAATTATAAACCTTGGAGCACTAGATAACTGTTTCGTCCTGGTATGGGACTCCCCAGCAGAACGCAACCATGACCTCAAAAACCCCTAAATTAAATTGATTTAGTGCTCATTGCTGACAAACTTTTAGAGGTGATTTTCGAAGTCCCAATGAGAAATCGTGACCGGTGGGGCAAACCTGGTGGCCGTGAGGACAAGTACGCAACGATGACATTGGACGATGGTCACGCAATGTCGTGAACTGACAGAAGTTGGGAATATGGACCACTGGATTCCAATCCACTGACTCAATCCTAACCTACTACTACTAACCACGAAACATGAACCTCCTGAGTTCCAACCCCCCTCACACAACACTCATCAGTGTCCAATGCTAAGGAGTAGTCCCATACTACCACGAAACATCCGTCCAGTACTCACACATATCCAATATTCCTCAAACTCATGTCAAACCACAGTCAATACCAACTTCAAATCAAATCAGCTTCACTCACAATATATTACCACCACCTCTTTATCATATCACCCACCTACTTACCCAATATTACAGTTTCAATCCCATCAATAGTTTCATCAACACTCATTTCGTTATTCAACAGACTTCCATTAGTTTACGTATATATATTCATCACCGTTTATAAACCCTACTTGAGTCCACCGTTATCATTAACCTTGATTTACTCCATACATCTACCTCCCTCCCTCCCTTCCTCCCTCACTCTCTCTCAGTCTTAATCACTCAACGATATTCTCCTCTCTTCATCAACAAATTATGTTAAATTTTCAGTAAAACTATACATTTCAATATTACATATTACAAACAGTAGACAGAATACCATTGAAATAAAATGGAATCGTTTTATCCCAACCCAATCATAACTCAAAACAGTGTCAATAAAAGGTTAACATTTCTCGACGGGTTAAGTTTAAATCAGTGTCTGGGTCAGATAGTAAAATTGTGGAGGTGGAAAAAGAATAAAAATACAAACAAATTTGGTCAGTAGTCAGGCGTCGTAGCTGAATTGGTAGAGCATCGGGTCGGAAACTCGGCGGTCGCTGGTTAGAATCCAGTCGCGGTCTAAATTTTCATTTCACCTTCAATCATCCCCAGTATCAATACTAGTCTGCCAAACTACGGCTATCTCAGATAGTCAAAATGATAGGCATATATACATAAAATTTTCAAAGGGTCTATACTCAATGACAAAGTAAATCAGTGGCTACTGTGGAATTTGGGGGTTAACAACTGTCTCTTTTTGAATGCACAAATTCAGTTTAATCCTTCTGACAGAGTATTGCTTTTGTGAATCTGAATAAATTAGGATAGTTTTATTTCGTCGTGTAAGGTGTATTTTGTTCTCATATACTGCCCCGGGATTATACGAGTAAAAATACGCCTTATACAATGAATCACACTAACTTGGTGCTCAAGATTTTTTTAAATCATTCAGTTCATTGTTGGTCAGGATAGCTTTATAGTTTTATTTGTCGATTATTTTAAACGAATTCGTGATCTGGACATCATGTCCGGTGCTTATCGATGTTTAGCAATGGAAATTTTAAGACAATTTGTCACTTTCAAGTCTAACTTATTTGGAATGTGTTTACAAAATCGAGTCTCAACCCTTTTCTCCGTCTCTTTGATGTACATGCTCTGGTATGTACATGTGAATTGGTAAACACAATTTGAAGTGACATTAGCCAGAAAGCTGTCCATTTTCAATTATTGTAGTGAACACTTTATTTTGCACAAGGAAACTGATTTTTAGTGCACTCCTTATTCCTTCTATTAACCCTATTCATCAATCCACCTATATTGAAAATCAGAAAAATAAACATAGTTTTCTCAAAATTATTAAAATGATAAATTCTATTTTCAAGGTTGGATTTAACATTCTACTCTGAAGATAATAATTCACAAGCGATGAATACCATACGATGATGCTCATCAGACTTACTTGAATGAACCAACTATCCAACATTTTAAATGTCTTTTCGATCATTATTATTATTATCATTATGGAAGGCCTTGGGTTCGACCTGTGGAGCGGTCATGGGAGCACACTGCTGAGGAGCTCCACACCAGGACGAAAAAGCTGTCCGGTGCTCCCAGGTTTTCAATGGTTTCCCAACTGATATCAGTTCGTGATGAATACTACCTCATTATTATCATTATTATTATTATTATTATTAAATTAAGCCTAATCACAATAAAAACAAAACGAAGCAGATAAAACTGAAAAGTAGTCGTCGACAAACGTGACAACCTTGAGCATAAATTAGAATAAACTACGACTAAACAATTTATTATCGTTATTTACCTGGTTGTAGTTAGAAGAGAAATGCAGGACAAGCGTTTCGTCCTATCTAGGACTCGTCATCTGAACGTGCTTGCACCCCAGTGAGTGAATTTGTTCCCACTGAGACTCGAACCTCACACTCATCACTTCAAAGGTCACCAATCAATAGTTAAATATTCTGGCATCTTCAGAATCGCTTCAACAAATATTGAGCAGTGTGGTTCACTCATTTGAGCACTCAACTTATAATCTGTAAGTCATAGGGCTATCCTATAATCCATTGACAGAGATTTCGCGTAGTCAAGTATTACGTAAACATAGCTTATAGCCCAATACACTAACATCTATGTGGTTATTGAGTTTTATTCATTCAGTTACAGAGTTGATAAACTTGTGGTACAAAAATTCATGTTAATTCTCAAGTAACTTTAAACAGTCGTTACAACAATGATAATAATAGTATTATTACTTGTATTACACCGTCGTTGGTTGGACCGAATTGATCAGTCTCTGTTGGCATATGGGCTTCTGTGCGGATGCCTCGATATTGCCTGTGTTCTTAACTATATAGTAATGATGAATAAGACTGAAGCTATACCCGTCGCACAAGAAGTGGTTACCGTGATTCGGTGGTCTAGTGGATAACGCTCTGGTGTTTAAAGCGATCGCCCCCGAGTCCGAATCCCGGTGGGAACAACATCACTCACTGAGAGACAGGTACATCCAGCTGATGAGTCCCAAATAGGACGAAATGCGCGTCTTGGATTCCATTGCTAGCCACTATCCAGTATTACTATATCACGATACAAACAGCTAAATAGTTCATACATAGTAATTTAATTGTTTGTAGCTACCACAGGAATCCAGAATTCGCGTTTCATCCTGGATTCCTCTGCTAGCCACAACCAAGTAAATTATCATAATTAATATTTGGGCAATAACGAGACACTTGCATAGGAGCCCATATGTCGACCAATTCGATCCAGTAAAACAACGGAGAACTACAAGCATATCAATAAATAGTAATAGTTCATACATACTTTTAGACTTTTCGAACAACAACAGCAATCAAATTAAAACTCACGCATCAGTTCAGAGACTAGTTGACCATGTCGAGTATCCCAAGATTCATCACAACTGTCTGTTGAAACACTATCCAAATCATTTGATATAACCGGCTGACTTATTGGTTTACATTTGAAATCATCTTCATTTTTAACTGAATTTAATCTAGTAGATTGATGTGATTGACTAGAAGATAATCCATGCTGTAATTGATGATGTTGACGATGATGAGATGGAATAATTGGTGGAGCGGAGGAAGTTGGATGAAAAAGATTACTTGAACCGGGATAATGAATACTTGATTGAATATCAGCCTGATTTGATTTGACAGTTTTAGTTAATGCTGTTGTCATTGTATTCGTATATTTTGGTGTAATCGGTATGACCGAAGAATCATTAGAAGAGTTGTTAATGGCCAGATTTAAATTGAACTACGTAAAGATAATAATAATAATAATAATTATTATTATTATTATTATTAATAAATTTTTAGTTATTGTAGGTACAACAAATTCGATTAAAGTAATTTATGAAGAAATCATTTCGATAGCAGTTATATGGATAGCTGGACAATTGTAACAACGCAAAATAATACAGAAAAAAAGTGCTCAATCTCAAGTTTTATATTTCTCAAAGGCAAAAATGAGGAAATCACCAAACTAATAGGCAATAGGAGAAAAAGAAAAGCACAACATGAGTGTTTATGCACACATATAACACAAACTACAAAGAAGGGACCGTGGTCCAAGTGACCTAGTGAATAACGTCTTAGCATCTTAAGTGATGGGTACGGGGTTTAAGTCTCAATGAAGACAACATTACTCACTGGGATGCAGGTACATCCAAAGGAAGAGTCCCACATAGAACGAAACGTGCGACTTGGATTCTTCTGCTAGCCTCAATCAAGCAAATGTTTTAAAACTTGCTTAAAATCTATAAGTAAACGCATTATGATTCCATAGAATAAAAAAATAGATATCTACACAGCAGCCTAACAAACAATTTCTATGAATTATGACAATTAAAAAGCACAACCCCACCCCTTCCCCCCCCTTTCGCCTAATTTTGAGCTACGAACAGATTTATTATCTACTACAGGAAATAGAAATACAAAACAAGGTACCATACCGTAGGTGAATACGTGAAATAAACGCCCCCTTAAGATAAATCCATGATACAATTCTTCTTCGTTTTACTTGTTATCGAGTACCATAGAACTTAATGACGTGTTAAAAAAAAGGAACAAATGAATATCGATCAACCGCTCAGAACTCCATAGAACAAATCAACCAGAAAGTAATACGAGATCAGTTCGCAATAATTCAGTAACCGGAAGCTAAATAAACTCATGGTAATAAACGTCAGTTAACCGATTGCATATACCAGAACACATACATACTTCCTAAAAATTAGAAAACAATTTTTAATTTAGATAAGAAACAGAGAAGTAGATTGATACTAGGAGTCATAGTATAAATCAACAATTTAGGAGGAAAACCTAATTAGATTTGGAGGTTTGTGAGGACTTATCGATTTCAAGTTAGTATTCATCATGGACTGATTCCAGTTGAAAAAACCAGTGAAAACTTGGGAGTAATGGACAGTTGTCTCAGCCTGGTACGGAACTCTTCAGCAGGGATCGGTATCAAGACCTTAATATTTCAGGGCGAGGACGTTGCCATTGAACCATTGGATCCACTTCATGATATAGCGCAACCTTCATCCAATGTCATCTTTGAGTATTTCTCCCCAAGTGATGACGAATATCAACATAAAATCAGATTACATGTGAAGAATTAATGACAACATAGAAAGATGGATAAACACAATGAAAGTCAACATAGGAGTATACTATAGTTTCCAAACGTCGTCATTACTAGTATAACTGCCTGTACTATACTGTCGTTGATTGGACCGAATTGATCGGTCTCTATTAACATATGGGCTCCTGGGCGTACATCACTCACTGGGAGGCAGGTACATCCAGCTGACGAGTCCCAAATAAAACGAAAAGCGCATCTTGGATTCCACTGTTACCCACTATCCATCATTACTATAATTATCATTACTCATGAAATAACCGTTGGCTTCCTGGAAGATTTGATGGTAACAGGGATTATAATCTGGTATACGGTGAACATTGCCTGCTGCACAAATGTCCACATGGCTGACTGTAAATAGAAGTTTATGGACTATACATTTCATCCTTACTTTATTTATCTAAAACTTAAACTGACTGACTATACGTCGTGCAAATCAAGAAATGTACCACAAAGAAAGAATGCAACAACTTTATGAAAACATAAAATTGACATAGAAAGAAATGGATAAGAACAAACGTAGCAAAACGTTAGAGAAAAAATGAATGTAGCGTTCATGACTTTCATCTTGCCTTTCCATGGGAGGAGACAAGAAAGATGTAATATTGTCAGTCATATTTGATAAAGTTTCATGCCAGTGAGTTGTATCCTCTGTCTGACATCAACTAGAGAGTTAGCATGCATTAATAGATGCTAACTAACTACAGCCATCATCCATGCTATAAGGTCACTATTTTCATCCGCTCTAAGGACTGACAAAGCAAGGAATAGTATAAGAGACCCAATGACAATATTCATAATGCATCCAATTCACCAAAGTCAGTGTTTCAAGATGACTTCACTTAACCAGTAGCAAACTGAATCATGCATAAAGATGCACTACCTTAATTCAGAAATACTTAAACATGGTGATTTCATCGGATGAGAGTGGCCCAATGAAGACGAAAATGATCGAACACGCAGCTTCAAATCATGGCAGAACGACATATGACCTGGACTGGTGCATGCCACCCTCATATTCAGTATACAGTTGATAATGTCATCAGTCATATCTCCACCACAATGCACAATGGTTTCAACTAATTCCAACAGTTCACCAACAAACATCCTTGAAAGCACAAAATTCTGCCTATCTTAAAAAGATACTTCTTACTTCGTTGATGCAAATCACACTGATTAGCAACTGATTAAGTGGGAATTGAGTAGGCTATATGTTGTCGGTATACTAAGACGATATCGTCCACATACTCAAGATGGAAACATTCCTCACCAGGTGACAGATTTAAATCATAAGCACTACCCACCTTGTGTCTATAGCTATTTCAAGGAGGTCATCGACTATAAAGTTGAAGAGAAATCGAGGAATTAAGCAAACCCACCTGAATGTTAATCTTACTTCGAAACAGTGTAGAGACACTTGTATACCTTCACATTACGTAATGTGCTTTTTCAGACACTTCACATTCTAACAGACGACTCCAAAGGACTGTCCTGTCTAAAGATTAGAAGATAACCAAAATATCAAACAAAAAAAACAACAAAGGTCGTTGATCACCAATACGTGCGACAGCATCCGAGTATCTGACTGATGAACAAGTAAAATCCGAGTCAATCTGTTCCTCAAAAATCGGTTTTTCACACGTTTCACAAAGTCTTTACAGTAACAATAACTAATATTTTCAAGACAACTGATATCAGAATAATAACTTGATGGGACAAAACTTTATTTTCATTTCTTTGAAACAAAGAAACTGAAGGTCATGTCATATAGCTGTATAAACTATGATTAAACCACAATTGATTAAACTGGACATAACATACTATTATAAATGATCACTTAGTACCGAAATGTATTCGATTATACGATAATTGTAGGATTTCAACACAGAATGGAATAATGTTCAAACAGCTGGTCTCATCAACTTGAAAACGAAATTCTACACTTGAATACTCAAGTCAAGAGATAGAATTGCTCAAACCTTAGCTACAGTAAGCTTGTAATACATAAGGTTATACAATTCACGACAAAAGTGGTTATCACTAACATGAAGCATCAGAAATTGATATGATATAAAACGAATATATGTTGATGGCAACAGCTTTAAGCTACTACTAATGCCTATTAATAATATTACTATTATGCAGTAGGTTTCTACAGTTATTCCAGGTGCATTAACGCAGATGTAACCATTAAAAGCATTACTTCGGTAGGATTGTGAAGTAAGATCAGTGTAGGGGTAGTTGAAACATGACAAATATTAGTTTGAACTCCACAATAGACAGACAATCAATGTAAAACCCTGCAAACAAAACTATTAGTTCAAACTATCACAGTTCCCAACAGTGCACAAAAAACAAATGGATAGAAAAAGATAAAGTTGAGTGAGAGAATAAAAACAATCACTGATTCCTATCCTCTCGAAAACCACAGTCAGGTCGTCTACATCTTCCCATACACGACTGAGACCAAACGTCACAGACTCCATAGACTGGTCACACGTCTTGGTCTGCCCACACTCAACCGTCTTCCAACCTAATCCAACTTCCCCGAGCTTGGCACGTCAAGGAAGCAGTGACTAATCATATGCAGTACATGGGTAAGTCATTTCGGTCGACTAAGGTTCACAACTTCATCAATCGACTTGCCTAGAACCCTTTGCTTGACCTTAAAGTTGCTCACATAGTAATTCTAACAAACACAAGCAATCCTACGAACACATCGAGGATCAAAAACCTGGAACCGCTTCATGTCTAATACTCTTAACGACCATGTCTCAAAGCCATATGAGACAGGATGAACTACAGCGTGATATACTCGTCCTTTAACAGATGGTCAGATATCCTGCCAGTCGGCGTCACAGGTGACGCAATAACCACTTCGTCCATAAATAATGATACAACAGTTTATTTCGAATGACAATGATAATAATAATAAGAAGAAGAAACATTGCAGAAAAAAGAAACATCTATACAATTTCACACTATCACTATGGTTGCAGTATTCTATTTCGAAAATGCGAGTGAAAAAGAATGATACAGTGGGTAAATGTTTTATGATCCTGTTTGGAGATTAAGGTAGGAGGGTTGTTAAGTGATTTCAGGTTAGAATTCATTATGGACTGATATAAGTTGGAGGAACATTGAAGACCTGGGAGCACTGGATAGCCATTTCGTCCAAGTAGGGGACCTAAGTCTTTGCAAGAAGTGGCGCCGAATCATGTGCCTGTCCACCTCAAGCAAAACATTAACCCGTGTCATCCTGGAGAGACTAGAAAATGCTCTGCACTGAAAATTACGACCGGAACAGGCTGGCCAGATACAAGAAAAAAAATCATATGTGGATCAAATTGCAACGCTAGGCTACGTATCACCATAGAACAGGGCACACAATGACAGTCAACTGGATCTTTACCTCAAACTTCATCGATTTTGTAAACGCCTTCGACAGCGTAGACCGAGAAGTTATTTGGCAAGCACCTGCTTAACACTACGCTTACAGTGCCACAAACCACCATCAACCTCATTCAACAGCAGCTATTATATATATATATATATATATATATATATATATATATACGCATGCTATATGATGCTACATTCCAAGTCATTCA